GAGGGAGGGAGGGAGGGAGGAAAGAAGGAGAGAAATGGGAGGGAAGAAATAGGAAGGAAGGAAGGGAGGAAAGAAGGAAGGAAGGGAGGAAGGAAGGAGAGAAATGGGGGAAGAAATAGGAAGGAAGGGAGGGAGGAAAGAAGGAAGGAAGGAGAGAAATGGGAGGGAAGAAATAGGAAGGGAGGGAGGAAAGAAGGAAGGAAGAAGGGAAATGGGGGAAGAAATAGGAAGGAAGGAAGGAAGGAAGGAAGGAAGGGAGGAAAGAAGGAAGGAAGGGAGGAAGGAAGGAGAGAAATGGGGGAAGAAATAGGAAGGAAGGGAGGGAGGAAAGAAGGAAGGAAGGAGAGAAATGGGAGGGAAGAAATTTGGAGGGAGGGAGGAAGGGAGGAAGGAAGGAGAGAAATGGGAGGGAAGAAATAAATATAAATAAATAAACAAACCAACCCTTTATTATCAAAGTATAACATGTATACAGTGAAACTGGCTGGGCTGGACTAGAAGACCTCCAAGATCCCTTCCAGCTCTATTCTGATCACATCACATATTTGCCTGAAGCGGGACAGGGTCTCCTGCCTGAGCAAGGGGCTGGACTAGAAGACCTCCCGGCTCCCTTCCATCTCTGCTCTTCTGTTCTGCCCGTGTTCCTCTCCCCTTCCGCACCCCACCCTGGCCCGGCTGGCCCTGGGGAACTTCAGCCTGCCCCACTCACTGTGTTCGATGGCGTCCCGGAAGAGGACCAGCCTCATGGGCACCACCCCTGGCGTCCGGTTGTACTCGCCCAGGGCCCGCTCCATCTCGGCCTTCAGGACGCCCATGTCCACCATGTCCTCGTAGACGTTGCGCATGAAGTCGCCTGAGGGAGAAAACGGCCACGTGAGTCATTTCTGAAGTCAGTTTTGCCCCCGTTTTACGACCTTCCTTCCTCCTTCGGTTGTTAAGTGAATCGCTGCAGTCGTTAAGCGAGTCACACCGTCGTGAAGTGAATTCGACTTCCCCTGTTGACTTCGCGCGTCAGAAGGTCGCAAAAAAGGGGGATCGCAGGACACACACCCATCCCGGGACGCTGCGACCGTCGTAAGTGTGAGTCGGTGGCCAAGCGTCTTGAATTTGGATCCCGGGATGACACTGGGGGACGCTGTAACCGTCGTAAATATGAGTCAGTGGCCAAGCGTCTTGAATTTGGATCGCGGGATGACGCTGGGGAACGCTGCGACCGTCGTAAATGTGAGTCGGTTGCCAAGCGTCTGAATTTGGATCGCGGGATGACACTGCAGGACACTGCGACCGTCGTAAATGTGAGTCGGTGGCCAAGCGTCTTGAATTTGGATCGCGGGATGACGCTGGGGGACGCTGTGACCGTCGTAAGTGTGAGTCAGTGGCCAAGCGCCTTGAATTTGGATCACGGGATAAGGCTGGGGGACGCTGCGACCATCGTAAATGTGAGTCAGTGGCCAAGCGTCTTGAATTTGGATCACAGGATGACACTAGGGGACGCTGCGACCGTCGTAAATGTGAGTCGGTGGCCAAGTGTCTTGAATTTGGATCACGGGATGACGCTGGGGGAAGCTGCGACCGTCGTAAATGTGAGTAGGTTGCCAAGTGTCTGAATTTGGATCGCAGGATGACCCTGGGGGACGCTGCGACCGTCGTAAATGTGAGTAGGTTGCCAAGTGTCTTGAATTTGGATCGCAGGATGACCCTGGGGGACGCTGCGACCGTCGTAAATGTGAGTCGGTTGCCAAGCGTCTGAATTTGGATCGTGGGATGACCCTGGGGGACGCTGTGACCGTCATAAATGTGAATCGGTGGCCAAGTGTCTTGAATTTGGATCGCGGGATGACGCTGGGGGACGCGGCAACCGACGTAAATGTGAGTCGGTGGCCAAGCGTCTTGAATTTGGATCGTGGGATGACCCTGGGGGACGCTGGGACCGTCATAAATGTGAATCGGTGGCCAAGTGTCTTGAATTTGGATCGCGGGATGACGCTGGGGGACGCGGCGACCGTCGTAAATGTGAGTCGGTGGCCAAGCGTCCCTTCATAACTGCAATGATTCGATTAATGACCATAGGAGTTCCCTTAATAACGACAATGATTCACTTAACGACCGGGGCAAAAGAGGTAAACTAGGCCGGCTTCCAACCAGCAAAGTCGACAGAGGAATCTGGATTCGCTTAACGATTGTGGGAAATTCCCTTCACAACTGCGATGATTCACTTAACGACCGTGGCAAAGAGGGGTGCCCGAGCGGAGCTGGCGCCTACCGAAGATGGGCGACCGCTTGTTGGGGCAGATGTGGTGGAAGGTCAGGTCGAAGAAGGTGCCCAGCTTCTCGCCCAGCAGACCCACGAAGGTCTCCATGTCGGGGCTGTCCACCAGGCGGTCCGAGAAGACCCTGCGGAGAAGGACGACGGGAAAAAGGCCCCCAAAGACCCTTAGGCGGGCAGTCCTCGGCTTACAACCGTGGGTTGAGTCAATCGGAATAGCCTTGGAAGGGACCCTGGAGGTCTTCTAGTCCAGCCCCCTGCTCAAGCAGGAAACCCTAGACCGTTTCAGAGAAATATGTAATCAGAAGAAAGCTGGAAGGGACCCTGGAGGTCTTCTAGTCCAGCCCCCTGCTCAGGCAGGAGACCCTAGACCGTTTCAGAGAAATATGTAATCAGAAGACAGCTGGAAGGGACCTTGGAGGTCTTCTAGTCCAGCCCACTGCTCAGGCAGGAGACCCTAGACTGTTTCAGACAAATATGTAATCAGAAGAAAGCTGGAAGGGACCTTGGAGGTCTTCTAGTCCAGCCCCCTGCTCAAGCAGGAAACACTAGACCGTTTCAGACAAATATGTAATCAGAAGACAGCTGGAAGGGACCCTGGAGGTCTTCTAGTCCAGCCCACTGCTCAGGCAGGAAACTCTAGACCGTTTCAGACAAAAGGCTGTCCAATCTCTTCTTAAGAACCTCCAGTGATGGAACGGCCACAGCTTCTGGTGGCAAGCTGTTCCACTGGCTAATTATCCTCACTGTGAGAAAACTCCTCCTTAGTTCCAGGTTGCTTCTCTCCTTGATTCGTTTCCATCCGTTTCTTCTTGTCCTGCCCTTCAGGAGCTTTGGAGAAGAGGTGGAACCCCCCCCCTCTTCTTTGGGGCAGCCCCCCTCAAATATTGGGACCCTGTTCTCATGTCACCCCTGGTCCTTCTTTTCATCAAAGTGCAAGCGCTCTTCATATGTGAGAACAACACATACATCTTTTGACAGTGTCAGAAATGGTGTAGGGTCTTCTACTTGGGTGGGGTGGATGGGGTTGGACTAGATGACCTCCATGGTCCCTTCCAGCTTCTATTCTATTCTATTCTATTCTATTCTATTCTATTCTATTCTATTCTATTCTATTTGTATTTTACTATTCTATTCTATTCTATTCTATTCTATTCTATTCTATTCTATTCTATTCTATTCTATTCTATTCTATTCTATTCTATTCTATTCTATTCTATTCTATTCTAAATAGATAACCTGACTTTTATTTGAACATAAAATAATAGATAGCCTGAAATTGATATTTGAACATATTTAAGTTTTCAAGAAGAGCCTGGATTGCCATCTGTCAGAAATGGCATAGGATCTCCTGTTTGGGCATGAGGATTGGACTAGATGACCTACAAGGTCACATCCAACTCTGCTATTCTGATTCTGACTTTTTAGTCTCCAGGCCTTTAATCGTCTCAGTTGCTCTTCTCTTTTTTTTCCAGAGTCTCAACAACTTTTTGCTAAGGTGGCGGCCACATCTGGATGCGGGATTCCAGGTGTGGCCTTACATCTGGGATACTGCCTAAACAGCGACCCTTCCAAGGTACAGTGACACGGGAAAAAGGCGACTTGCTCACTGGTCCTCGCCCTTACGACCGTCCTAGCAGCTCCGCGGTCACCAGATCAAAATTTGGGACGTGGGTTTCTAAAGGTTTCGGCACCCCCCCTCCCCGGGATCACACGATTCCCCCTTTTGTGACATTCCCGCAGGTGAAGTCAAGGGGGGGGGAGGCAGGATTCGTTTAACGGCCTCCCGATTCGCTTAACGACTGCCACGAATCGCTGAACTGTTAAGAGCTGGGCACGACTGACTTAACCGCCGCCTTGCTTAACGCCAAAAATTCTGGCCTGGCTGGTGGCCGTAATGCTGTATCAGTACCCTTATATTTATTTTATTTATATCCCACCCTGAACAGGGGGTTGGACTAGAAGACCTCCAAGGTCCCTTCCAGCTTTGTTCTGATTACATATTTCTCTGAAACGGTCTAGGGTTTCCTCCTTGAGCAGGGGGCTGGACTAGAAGACCTCCAGGGTCCCTTCCAGCTGTCTTCTGATTGCATTTTGTCTGAAACAGTCTAGGGTTTCCTGCTTGAGCAGGGGGCTGGACTAGAAGACCTCCAGGGTCCCTTCCAGCTGTCTTCTGATTGCATTTTGTCTGAAACGGTCTAGGGTTTCCTGCTTGAGCAGGGGGCTGGACTAGAAGACCTCCAAGGTCCCTTCCAACTTTATTATTATTATTATTATTATATAATTATGAGATGGGGTTTTTTTTTTCCTGGTCACCACTAACTCTGGCGCCCCCTGTTGGCCACGGCCAGAAGCAGCCTCTTGCAAAGCCATCTCCAGCCCAGCAGGGGGAGCTGGCACCTTTCCTGGGGGGGGGGAGGATGATGGGCTTGAGGGAAGGGCAGAGGTCCTACCTGAAGCATTCGTGAATCCAGAGACGGGTCAAGCTGGCTTTGGTGTCGTGGAAGTCCTTGTGGGCCCTCAGCATGCCTTGGAAGACCTGAAGGAGGAGACCGCCTTTGAGATCCGGGACAAGCGCAGGGTCTTGAACACAAGACCCCACACCAACTGTGGCTAGACACAATGGGGAAGGGGCCGTCTCTGCCCTCCAGCCAGGCTTGGGGTGCTGCTTCTGCTGGCAGCTTTGCTACTCAGGCCAAGCAGGAGGGGGAGGAGGAGGAGGGGAGGGGGAGGAGGAGGAGGAGGAGGAGGAGGAACTGTGGGATCCTTGATGCTCTCTGAGTTGGGTGGTTTTCTTGCAAATGTTTTAAGACCCAACTAAGGACCATTATCAGTGCTAGAAGGGAGGAGGAGGAGGAGGAGGAGGAGGAGGAGGAGGAGGAGGATGGAGAAGAAGAAGAGGAGGACGACTGTGGGGTCCTTGGTGCTCTCTGATCTTCACCAATGTCCTTACAGATGTTTCATGACCAAACTAGGTAACATCATCAGTGCTAGCAGGGACGGAAATGTGCTCTCTGGTTATATACAAGTGGCTTGATGATCATCGTCAGCACTGACGATGTAACCTGGTTGGGTCATGAAACGTCTGCAAGTTCAGAGAGCACCAAGGACCCCACAGTCCTCCTCTTCCTCCTCCTCCTCTTCTTCCTTCTTCTTTTCCTCCTCCCCCCTCCTCCTCGTCTTCTTCTTCCTCCACTCTGCAAACTCCCCTCCCTTCTAGCACGGATGATGTAACCTAGTTGGGTCACGAAACGTCTGCAAGAAAGTGGCCAAACTCAGAGGGCACCAAGAAAACAGCCCCCGCCCTCCCCAGTTCAACCCTGAGCTAGAAATATTCTCTGCTATCTCCACGAACAGCCCCAGGAGAGCTTTTTCTCTTCTTTCTTTCAATTTATTAACAATTAACGGGGAACAATAGAGCGGAGGGCTCACTGAAGCAACACCCCTCCGGCCCGATTTAATTGGATTATCTAAGAACCTGGAACTGGCTAGTAGCTGCCCAGAATTAATCAGTTTAAACCAGGTGAAGTAAACACCGTCTCCTGTGTTATCCCCAAGCCTGTGACCTTTTCTTTCTTTCTTTCTTTCTTTCTTTCTTTCTTTCTTTCTTTCTTTCTTTCTTTCTTTCTTTCTTTCTCTCTCTCTCTCTCTCTTTCCTTCTTTTTCTTTCTTCCTCTCTTTCTCCTTTCTTTCTTTCTTTCTTTCCTTTCTTTCCTTCTTTCTCTTTCTTTTTTTCTTTCTCCTTACTCTCTCTTTCTTTTTTTCTTTCTTTCTCTTTCTCTTTCCTTCTTTTTTTCTCTCTTTCTTTCCTTCTTTCTTTTTTCTTTCTCTTCCTTCCTCTCTCTCTTTCTTTCTTTTTCCTTCTTTCTCTTTCTTTCTTTTTCTTTCTTTCTTCTTACTCCCTCTTTCTTTTTCTCTTTCTTTTTCTCTTTCCTTCCTTCTTTTTCTTTCTTATTTCATACTTTCTTTCTTTCTTTTTCTTTCTTTCTTTTTTCTTTCTTCTTCCTCTCTCTTTTTCTTTCTCTCTCTCTCTGTCTCTCTTTCTTTCTTTCTTTCTTTTTTTCTGTCATCAACTTGTCAATTAAAATGCTCTCCCCCCTTCCCTATTTTTGCAGGAAAAACTGCCTGTTTACCTTCCCTGGCGTCACCCCTTTACGGTTCGAGGTGTCATTTGAATGATCAAATTAAAAAAAAAAAAGTAAACGAATCGAACAAAGGCGAAGATCTAAACAGGGCCCGCCCGGCTTGGGATACGTCCTACTTTAAGCAACGGGAGAATGTGCTAATGACGGATTAATAATGAAGTTGGGGAAGCAACGGGACGGGATGGGGGTATTCCTTTTGGGGGGAAAGGGACCCCTATTTCTGGCCCTGCTCTGCACCCCTCAACCAGCTGAAAAGGGAGGCGGGTTGGCAGCGCGTTTGATGTGCGGGAGAAGAGCTTCGGGGCTTAAAACCTGGGATAAACATTCCGGTGTCATCTGATCTCTCCGAAGCCGCAGTGCCCATTTGATGTGTGCTCCGCATCTCTGCCCTGCTTGGAATCCTAATGCTCACAGCCTCTGGGCATCCGTGGAGGCGGGCGTGGGGAAACATTTTAAGCCTGGCACGGGTTTCTGCCTCGCCGTAACAGGCCTGGGTGGGCCCCAGGCCTTCCCGGCTCGGCCTGGAGTGTGGGGGGGGGGAGAGGATGGAAGTTCCCTGGGATTTGAGGAGGGGGGGAACCACAGGACGGGGGGAAAAAGGTGGATAAGAGAAAAACCTTCCCTAATTCCAAGCTCTGAGGAGCTAAGCGGGACTCGCTTCCTTGCCCGGGGCAGAACCTGTGCGTGCGGGGAGCCCGTCGCCCCTCCAGGCGGGTTGGCTGGCATCGCTTCCGTGGAAAAGCACCTGCAAGCCCCCACCCCACCCCGTCCCTCTGCCAAGGGCGACGGGGTTCTTGAGAAGGCAACTTCGATGGCCACAAAGGTGCCTTTTCCAGGAGGCCACTGGACTTCCTTTGTTTTCCTTTGAAGACGTTTCGCTTCCCATCCCAGGAGCTTCCTCAGATTCTGACCGAATGGTGGGGAAGGGAAGGATTTATACTCCTCGCAGACAGCCGGTCCTTTGCCTTCTTTTAGAGCAGGGGTGTCAAACTCAATTTCATTGAGGGCCGCATCAGCATTGTGGTTGTCCTCGGGGGGGGGGTAGGTGTGGCCAGGGTGGGTGCGGCCTACTGGGCGGGTGTGGCTGGAGTGGGTGTGGCCTACTGGGTGGGCGTGGCCAGCTCTACATCGTTTCGCGTCAAGGGGGCCTGTGGGGGCCTGGGCAGGAGTGGGACAGATCTGGGGGTCTCTGGCAGAAGGGGGTGGGACCCCGGGGCAAGCGCCAAGGCATGGTCCATTTCTTCATTCCTCAGAAAGGGTGACCCCTCCCCAGCATGCACCCAGGGGGCGAGGCCGACACGGCAGGGGCCGGTCCCTCGCTGTTTCCAGACGGCCTTGTGGAGCTAAGACTGAATGTGTTTCAGCATAGATGGCCACCGCAAAAGTGTACATTGGCTCCCGGCCGGCCTGGGCCAGTGCCAAGGCAGAGGGGGCCGTTCCCTCACTGTTTCCAGGATGGCTTCGCGGGCCACATGATACCACTTCATGGGCCGCATCCGGCCCCCGGGCCTTGTGTTTGACATGTCTGTTTTAGAGAGTCGTTGAGGCCACTTGGAGGTTTGTCCCATAGGTGCTTTTTCAGGACTTCCTTGCTTTTCTTTCTTCTTTCCTCAGCTCCGACTGGATGGTGGGGAGTGGAAGGATTTATACTCCTTGCAGACAGCCGGTCATTTGCATCCTTTTAGAGAGTCGTGGAGGCCACTTGGAGGTTTGTCTGTGTCCTCAGGGTCATCTGAGCGGTGCAAATGGGTGTGGAGCCTTCTTGGAACTGTTGAAAGGAGGCTCCACGCCCATTTGCCCCACTCAGGTGACCCCGAAGACACAGATAAACTTCCAAGTGGCCTCAACGACTCTCTAAATAAAGAAGGCAAATGACCAGCTGTCTGCAAGGAGTATAAATCCTTCCATTCCTCCACCGTCCAGTCAGAACCTGAGGAAGCTTCCGGGATGAGAAGCAAAATCAAAGAAAAATAAGAAAAAGCACCTTTGGGACAACTGAGGACATAGGTCAACCTCCAAGTGGCCTCAACGACTCTCTAAAAGAAATGCAAATGACCGGCTGTCTGTAAGGAGTATAAATCTTTCCCTTCCCCACCATCCAGTCAGAGCTAAAGAACCTTCTGGGATGAGAAGGGAAACGTCTTCAAAGAAGAACAAGGAAGTCCAGTTGACTCCTGAAAAAGCATCTTTGGGACAACCCTGACCTGGACGATGGAGCATCTCCTTAGACATTCAACAGGGACACAATTTGGACTCCGGGCGCCCCCCCCCCGTTAGCTGGGCAGGAGGAAAGGGCCGCCACGGACCCCTGCTTCTACCTTGGAAATGTCCCGGAGGTTGAAGAGGTAGTGGATCTTGGCTGGGGTGGGCAGGAACCGCTGGACCACGCTGTTGTAGAGCTCCACCGTGGCCTCAGTGATGACATTGCCGATGGGCTTGACGGCCTCCTCGAAATTCTGCAACTTCTGGTTGATCATGGTGCCGAAGATGCGGCGGATTTGGGAGTCCTGTGCACGGGGGAAAAAAATCAGGAAGAGGTGGGGGGCGGCGGGACAGCACCCCTTCCCCGCCCCCACCGGGATCTGAGATAAGCCTCCAGCTTATCCTGGAAGTTCTCTGCAAGCTGGATAGTCTTCAAGGGTTCCTGGGCGTAGATTGGTTCTGACGCAAAGGCGATAATCAAACCCTCATCTGCCTATCACATGGGAGGGGGCTAGGAGGTGAGGACAGGAGACCCCCGTGATTTTTAGAGTGGTGGGGGGCTTCAGCATTTTGGGAGAGGAGGCCCCCTTGCAAAGCCCTGGCCTCAAATGGGAGTTAAAGCCAACCTTTAAAGGATCCCATTGAAAACTTGGATCCAATGTTGAATAAGAGAGAATGTAGAGCGACCTTGACCTCTTTTAAGACGGGTGGACTTCAACTCCCAGAATTCCCCAGCCAGCCACAGGGATCTCACCCCAAATTAGAGATGACCAAAAGGTGACCTCGTTCCAGCTCACCTGGAAGGCCCTGCTAGGTGGAAGGGACGTCCTGATGGGAGCCCACCTTGGACGCAGCTCAGAAGCTGGTGGTGAACGTCCTGCATTGGGCCCCAAGGCCCCCTTCCAGCCGTGCCTCGGCAGCAGGGCCGGTACAAACCTCTCCCCATCCTCTCCCCAGCATCCATCACTGGAGATTTTAAAGAGGAGACTGGACATTCACCTGTCTGAGATGGTGTAGGTTCTCCTGCTTGAGCAGGGGGCTGGACTAGAAGACCTCCAAGGTCCCTTCCAGCTCTATTTCTATTCTATTCTATTCTTTTAATATTCTATTCTATTCTATTCTATTCTATTCTATTCTATTCTATTCTATTCTATTCTATTCTATTCTATTTTCTTTATTCTATTCTATTCTATTTTTATTCCATTCTATGTCTATTTCTATTCATATTTCTATTCTATTCTATTTCTTATTCTATTCTATTCTATTCTATTCTATTTATTTCTATTCTATTCTATTCTATTCTATTCTATTCTATTCTATTCTATTCTATTCTATTCTATTCTATTCCTTATTTCTATTCTATTCTATTATGTTCTGTACTTTTATTCCACTCCACTCCACTCCATTCCATATATTCTATTCTATTCCTTATTTCTATTCTATTCTATTCTATTCTATTCTATTCTATTCTATTCTATTCTATTCTATTCTATATATTTCTATTCTATTCTGTTCTGTTCTGTTCTATTCTATTCCTATTCCTATTCGGTATTTCTATTCTATTCTATTTCTTATTCTATTCTATTTCTTATTCTATTGTATTCTATTGTATTCTATTGTATTCTATTCTATTGTATTCTATTCTATTCTATTCTATATATTTCTATTCTATTCTATTCTGTTCTACTGTACACTACCTTATTCCTATTCCTATTCCTATTTGGTGTTTCTATTATGTTCTGTTCTATTCTATTCTTATACTTATTCTATTCTATTCTGTTCTGTTCTGTTCTGTATTTTATTATTCTATTCTATTCTATTCTATTCCTGTCCTGCCCTTCACAGAGGGGGCTGACATCTGAACCGGCGCACCACCTCTGCAGGATCTAGTGGCCACCCACCCAGCAGAGAGAGAGTCGGGAAAAAAATTAGGGAGGGGTCTCTCTCCTTTGCCCACCAGGTGAAGCCCCAACCCGCAGCCCCCTCCTCATCTGGGCTGCCCTCCACATGCCAAGCAGCCCTTACAGTGGGGAAGGTCATGTTGATGAGATTGAAACGGCTTTGTAAACGACTGGAGATCACCGTACGCCCTCCGCCGGCCGGTCCCATGGCTGCCATCAGGAACATGTCCTGGGGGTGGGGGGGAGAAGAGAGACAGACGTCCATCAAAACCAGGGGAGGGGAAGAAAAAAAGGACACCCACCCACCCTCCTTTCCCCACAGCTGCAAAGGGTTTAGCTGCCTCCGTGCGGAGAGAGACGAAAGCAGCAGCATACAAAGAGCGGGACATAATCACTGCCATGGCGCGTGCCATCCTGCCCTCCGGGCGAGGGGGGGGGCTTCTGCCGCGCCGGCCCCCTCCTCTTCTCTGAAATTCAGAGACACGGCGGCCTCTTTAACCATTATTCTGGGCACAAACGTCTCTGTTTGCCAGCTGCTGGGTTTTCAAACCACCCGGGGTCTAAGGAGACAATGCGCTCGGTACGTGAACGCATTTAATGTGCCGGAGAGGCGTCTGGAAAGGAAAAAAACAGCCCTGGCAGGCGGGCAGGAGGGCAGGCGGGCGGGTGGGTGGGCATGGGGATCTAGAAGGGGGCACCGCAGGTGGGGCCCGCCCTCCGTCCCTGTGCAGAAAGGCCTCACCTTGATGTGTTTGATGGTCTGCTTGGCGCGGTCGTACCAGAATCCGTAGTCCAGCCAAAGCCGGAGAAGCTCCAGAGGGGGCTGCGACCCGAAGGTGTCCTTGGCGGGCATGTTCAGGTCATCCATGAAGGTGATCATGCTTTTCCCCCCCATGGGCACGTAGACACCCTTGGTGCGTTTCTCCACCCGGCTTTCGATGATGCTCTGGACGTTGTTGGAGGTGGTCTGCAGGACGGGGAAAGGAAGGACGCCTTTCAGAAGCGGGCCCGGAGCCTCGGCGTATGGGACGCCCTCCGCTTACGACCGCGATAGAGGTCCCCAAGTCGCTATGTGAGTTGCGATTTAAAAAGAGACCGGAGGGCCATTGGTCGGAAATGGTGTCGCTAGGATCTCCCGCCCTGAGCAGGGGGCTGGACTAGATGACCTCCTAGGTCCCTCCCAACTCTTGCTATTTGGTTATTCTGAAAAGAAGGACCAGCGGGTGACATGATCGCAGGGTTTCATTATTATTTGAGGGGCTGCCACAAAAGAAGAGGGAGGGGGTCCACCGGTTCCCCAAAGGGCCTACGGGCAGGCTGGAAACTCATCAAGGAGAGAAGCAACCTGGAACTAAGGAGAAACTTCCAAACATTGAGAACAATTAACCAGTGGAACGGCTTGCCACCAGAAATCGCGGGCCCTCCATCCCCGGAGGTTTTTAAGAAGGGATTGGACAACCGTTTGTCTGAAACGGTATAGGATCTCCTGCCTGAGCATGGGGTCAGACTAGAAGACCTCCGAGGTCCCTCCCAACTCCGTTATTCCGTGCCCCATTTTACGATCGTTTTTGCCACAACTGTTAAGCCAATCATGTGGTCGTTAAGAGAATCCGGCTTCCCCCATTCCTTGTCGCAAAAGGAGCTTGCCGTGAGTTTCGTCCCGTTTCTACGCCTTTTCTCGCCGCCGTCATTACGCGAATCAGCACAAATTAGCCACCCCGTGGTTAAGCAAATCTGGCTCTTCCCTGTCGACTTTGCTTCGCTGGAAGGCCACAAAAGAGGTTCGCGTGAGCCCTTCCCCTCCGGGACGCTGCGACCGTCCTTTACTACGAGCCAGTTGCCAAGTTTGATCCCACGACCGCGGGAAAACGCTGCGACGGCCGTTGAGTGTGGAACGCAGGGCTAAGCCGCCGTTCTCAGGGCTGTCGTGGTTCGGCCACTCAGTAAATCGTCGTTAAGTGGGGGACTTTATGTACTCGGGCCCAGCGAGGCCCCTCTCTCGTCCCTGTCGGATCAAGGGTGCCGGGAGGGAGGGAGGGAGGGAAGGGACACGTTACCTGGGCGGACATGTTGATTACCAGGACGGCCCACTTCATGGTGTCCAGGGATTGAAGCACCCCCTGGGCGATGGAGGTCTTCCCGGTGCCCACCATGCCCACCAGCAACACCGGCTGTTGGTTGGAAATGAGGGCGTTCACCAAGTAGTTGTACCGCATGGTGTCCACGGTGGGAACGATGATCTTGTAGAAGGGGATGCTGCGGAAGAGAAGCGGGGGTCTCGGCTCGGGATGTTGCTTGGCCAGCACACACACATACCCCGGGCGGACGCGCCACCCGTTTCCCGTGTGGTCCTTTCGCCGCCGCGGCCGTGCCGAAAACCCTTGCCAAGAGGCATGAAGACATTTGACACACGACACAATTCCCGCAGCTGTCATCTCCACTGGAGTCTGACAGCTTGGCCGGGGGCCGTTGTTAACGACGCTGTCTGCCTGCCCGGCGTGACGTGGGGGCAGCCGCCCGCCCGTGGCCGCTCGGGGATCGTGTCCCTGGCAATTCCAGGGCCCTGATCGGATTAGGCTGGGCGAGAGGTGGCAGGGTGTGTGTGTGTGTGTGTAAATGAAGGCGAGGCCTCAGCTTAAACCACAAGCTCGCCTGGTGGTCGTGAAGGTTACGGGAGACGACGGTTGTGAAGTTGTGCGGCTGGGGGGAGGCCATTGTTGTGGACGAGGTCCCTCCGTCCAGGGTTGCCAGAGGGCAGCCGGGCAGCCGTGGCCGCTGCAGGACCGGGTCCCTGGTAATTCCATGGCCTTGATTGGATTAGGGGCAATTGTGTGTGTGTGTGTGTGTGTGTGTGTGTGTAAATGGATGCGAGCTGTTGGCTTAAACCCGTGGTCGTGAGGTTGGGAGTGACAGCAGTTGTGAAGTTGTGTGGTTGCATGGAGGCCGGAAATGAGAAAGGCCGGAAATGAGAAAGCTGGGCGCGAAGACAATGTCTTCTGCACCTCCTCTACGGGCAGCCCTCGACTTACAACCACCACAGAGCCCAGAATTTCCATCACTAAACGAGACAGCTGCTAGGAGAGTTTCGCCCCATTTTAGCATCTTTCTTAACACCGTTGTTAAGTGTATCGCTGCAGCGGTTGAGTTAGTCATGCGGTCGTTAAGCGAACCCGGCTTCCCCCGTTGACTTGGGGGAAGGTCGCAAAAGGAGGATCACGGGCTCCCGCGACATTGTGACCGTCATAAATAGGAGCCAGTGGCCAAGCATCTGAATTTGCATCGTGTAGCCACAGGGAGGCCGAAGGGTCGTAAGTGTGAAAAATGGTCATAAAAGTCCCTTTTCTCAGTGCTGTTGGAACTTCCAACAGTCGCTAAACGGACGGTTGTAAGTTGAGGACCACCTGTACTGTTAGGACACCAGTGATGAGGGAAGGACCCCCAAGGAATGCCCAAGGAACGCCGTTGAGGGCAATGTGACCCAACTTTCTTCACTATGGATCAACCCAGGATTGTCTCGTGACCTACATCCTGTTTTCTGGACCTATCATTGGAAGACCACATCCCACTCCACCACGTTGCTGACGGCTGGACCACCACTAGGAGCAATGTGAAAAGCAGGCCCACCTGCTGTCCCTCAGGATCTTCTGGCCTTCAAACCCACCCCAGGGAGAACGGATCCGGGTCTGAAGAACGGAAGGATGTTCTCCCTGAAGCCCGTTCTTCCACGATCTTGAGATCTTGGCTCAACCGGCCAGATGGTTACTCACTTGGCGGGGTATCTCCACATCTTGGGAAGGTTGTCCTCAAAGGCCACCCACTGCTTCCTCTTGGGGTCCACGTAGTACTCGTAGACCGTGTCCTGCGGGGAGGAAGCAACGACTTCCATGTGTGAGGTGGACACATTGCAGACAGCTGGTCATTTGCCTTCTTTTAGAGGGTCGTTGAGGCCCTCAGTTGCCCCAAAGGTGCTTTTTTCAGGAGGCAACTGGACTTTCTTGTTTGTCCTTTGAAGACGTTTCGCTTCTCATCCCAGAAGCTTCTTAAGGTTCTGACTGGATGGAGGGGAAGGGAAGGATTTATACTCCTTGCAGACAGCTGGTCATTTGCCTCCTTTTAGAGGGTCGTTGAGGCCACTTGGAGGTTTGTCCGTGTCCTCAGGGTCACCTGAGTGGTGCAAATGGGTGTGGAGCCTTCTTGAGACTCCTTTGAGAAGGCTCCATGCCCATTTGCACTACTTGGGTGACCCTGAGGACACAGACAAACCTCCAAGTGGCCTCAACGACCCTCTAAGAAGGCAAATGACCAGTCCAGTGGCCTCTTGAAAAAGCAGGACCTGGATGACGGAGAACTTCCACAGATGCGTGAGGGGGATCTTCTCAACGTTGCTGTCCCAGGCTAAACCCAGAAGACCCCCCCGAAAGCCAAGGGAATCGGAGCGAGACCTTGTTAGGGAAGGACCCCTCCATTTCCCGCAGGAAGTTGTCAATCTTCTTCCGGCCTTCCTCGTCCACGGCCGCGCACAGGGACCAGATCATGCTGAAGACATAGTACATCTCCACCAGGGTGGAATAATTCTCGGCGTCGGTGAGGTTGAGCTGGAGGGAACGGGGGAGAGTGTCACGTAAGCCACCAAGGCATGGGTCTATGGCGACTCGCCGCGGTCAGGTGGGCGGGACTCAGTGGGTGTGGCCAGCCATGCCCCCAGGTGGGTGGGTGGGCGTGGCCAGGTCGACGCCCACCGAAGTTGCCTGGGGTAGAACAAGTTGCCCGGGGAGACTTGTTCTGCGCCCACCTCGCATGCCCACCTGGGACCCACCCCGGCCACACCCACGTGGTTGTGTCCACGTGGCCACTCCTACCTGGCGCCCCCGCCCCCACCTGGCCACATCTATGTGGTTGTGTCCACCTGGCCACGCCCACCTGGTGTCCCCCCAGCCACACCCATGTGGTTGTGCCCACCTGGCCATGCCCACCTGGCACCCACCCTGGCCACATCCACTTGGCTGTGTCCATCTGGCCACTCCCATCTGGTGCTTCTCCAGCCACACCCATGTGGTTGTGTCCACCTGGCCACTCCCACCTGGTGCCCCCTCCTCCACCTAGCCACACCCATGTGGTTGTGTCCATCTGGCCACGCCCACCTGGCACCCACCACAGCCACACCAACGTGGTTTTGTTCACCTGGCCACACCCACCTGGGGCCCACCCCAGCCACACCCACGTGGTTCTGTCCCTCTGGCCACGCCCACCCAGCCACCCCGTTATCCACGCCGAGCCAGCTGCACTTTATCCTTCAGCTTGACCTGGCCGCGCCCACCCAGCTGCGCACACCTGGTGGCACTTTATCCTTCAGCTTGACCTGGCCATGCCCACCGAGCCACGCCCACCTGGCCTTGCCCGCCGCTTACCCCTTCCTCGGCCAAGGACGTGAAGAGTTTGCAGAGGGCCACAATGCCGCTGTACTCCGCGATGGGCACCAACTCCTGGCAATTTTCCTTCTTGAAGTTCAGGATCTTGTTGGTGAATTTGTCGAACATCCGCTGCAGGGTTTCCGTTTCCACCTGGGGAGGGAAGAGGTGCAGGAGCCAATTCCCCCGGGGGACGAGCCACCGCGGGACAATTCGGCAAATCCAAAAGTCAGATTCATTTCGACGGAATCGTGGCCAATGATAATAACAACGACAACTCCATCGGTCGATCGGAATGGAGCTGGAAGGGACTGTGGAGGTCTTCTAGTCCAACCCCCTGCTCAAGCAGGAGACCCCTGGGTGAGGGGGTCCACCGATTCTCCAAAACACCAGAAGGCAGGCCAAGAAACAATGGATGGAAATGGAGAGAAGCAACATGGAATTAAGGGGAAACTTCCTAACCGTGAGGACAATTAACCAGGGGAACAGCTTGCCACCAGAAGTGGTGGGAGCTCCATCACTGGAGGTTTTTAAGAAGAGATTGGACAGCCCTTTTGTCTGAAATGGCATAGGGTCTCCTGCTTCTGCAGGGGGTTGAACTAGAAGACCTCCAAGGTCCCTTCCAACTTTATTCTGATTGAGTTATTATTATTATTGATTATTATTATACACTGATTGCATAATCATGGATGACCCCACAATGCTCAAGACTGTCTAGTGGAGTGTGGACTTCAACTCCTGGAATTCCCTGAGACTAACGCATTCCTTTTGATATGTGCCTCCGTTGTGGCCTGCTTACTCTCTTCTAATCCCTTCCTCTGCAATCTCTCCGCTCCAGAGGCTAGCTAGCAGAAGACAAAATACAGGCACGGCTGGCTGGGGAATTCTGGGAGTTGAAGTCCACTCGTCTTAAAAGCTGTTAAGGTTGAGGACCGCCGGGTTAGTCCCCATCGTAAGCCCAACCCTGTCCCTTGCTACCTTTGGACGCTTCTCGATCCAGGATAGGACGTACGGTTTCCAACCCAGGTCGCTGTAGTCCGTGTAAACCATCCCACACCGGGAGACGGTGGCAGGTGAGGCGACCGCCAGGTTCTCCACTTCGAACAACAACGAAACCTGGAGGAAGACACCCCCCCAAATACCCGTCAGTCGCTGTGGGAGCCCGGCTCAACTGCTCAAACGGAGCAGAGGCAAAAAGAGAGTAGGTCCTTTAAGTTACCTGCTCGGGCATGGCGATCCTCTCCCCATTGATGAGGGTCAGGACTTTGTTGTCGTCCATGACCGAGTTCATGCTCTCGATCCACAGCGTGTCCACCGGTCCGTCGAAAAGGATCCACTTCTCATCCGGTTTCTCGTCTGGGAAAAAGAAGGGAAAGTTGGGTCAGAGCCCGCGAGGAACCGGAGAAACCGAAGATCTGCCCCACAGTTATCCCACCAACCCATTTGGGTGTCATGCCTGGAACGGGACCCTACGGAGGTCGAGGAGTCTGTGGCTGCAGAGGAATGTGGGGAAGAGCAGGCCGAGGCAGGCCAGGGCCCTTTAGGATCGGGACAGGATGAACGGGAGAGGCAGAGTTCAGGCGATGAGCAAGGGCCACCCCCACCTGATCCTAGAGCACGGAGAGTGGAGAGAAGGAGGGAACAACACAGGCAGGCTCAACTACTACTCGGGAGGAGAGTGTCCCGCCCCTCTCCACAAGGAACACCTGGAGACTGAGACTTAAGGAGACGCCGTGGGGAGAGGTATCTGTCGGGAACAAACGCTGATTCCTTGGAGTTGTGTGTGTGTGTGTGTGTTGTTGCTGATCTCTTGTTCTGTGACTTCTGCTGTGAAACCCGGACACTCTGACCACTGGACTGGCTGACCACGTTGCTTGGATGTTCAAAGATCTCAGACTGTATTTGGGCTTCCCTTTTGGAAACTGCTCGGGCAGGCGTGCATTCACACAGACTTGCTAGGTTTATGGTGTATGCGTCATCCCTTGTTATCTCCGTGGCCTTGAGTAAATTCCTCTCCTAATCAGACTGGGGTGAGGCCCCCTCCTCCCCGGCCCAAAGAGAAATGGACCAGCAGCAAAGCCCGGGGCAGGTGGGCGGGCAGGGCCGTACCTGCGCAGGCCGTCCGCATGACGCTGGAGAGGATGCCATCCGTCCACTCGTTGGTGCTGAGGTTGTACTCTCCGTACAGCTCGCCTAGGGACACCGCCTTGGGGTTCAGGGGATAATCCTAGGGTGGGGAGGAAGAGGAGGAGGAGGAAGCTGAAGTCAGAAGCATGGAAGAGCCACCGGCAGGCAAAGTCAGGCCAGGCAGACCCCCCCCCCTCCTCCTCCTCCTGGTTCCTCTGCAATTCAGGCCCCTCCGTCGGGCAGGGGGACCCAGACTGTCCCTCTCCCACCTCCTCACTTCAAAGGAGGCCCACAACTTTTCTGTGGCTGTCACAGCAAGAGGAGAGTGGAACCCACAGTCGCTCCTGGCCAAGGAGTGGGGAAATGAAGGAGGGGAGGAGGGGAAAGAAGGGATGGATGGATGGGAGGGAGGGAGGAGAGAGGGAGGAATGGTGGGAGGGAGAAAAGGAGGGAGGAAAGAGAAGGAGGAATGAAGGGAGGAAGGGAGGGAGAGAGGAAGAGGGAGAGAGGGAGGGAGGGAAGAGGAATGAAGGGAAGGAGGGAGGAAAGAAGAGTGGGGACGGAAGGAAGGGAGGAGAGAGGGAGGGAAGAAGGGAGGAAATAAGGGAGGAGAGAGGAAGGGAGGAAGGAAGAAAAAGGAGGAAAGAGGGAGGGAGGGAGGGAAGAGAGAGGGAGGGAGGGAGAAAAGGAGAGGAAAGAGGGAGGGAGGGGAAGGGAGGAAAGAGAAGGAGGAATGAATGGAGGGAGAAAAGGGAGCGGGGACGGAAGGGAGGGGAGAGGGAGGAAGGGAAGAAGTAAGGGAGGAAATAAGGGAGGGAGGGAGGAAGGGAGGCCCGGCCCCGGCCCCTCACCCGGACCAGGTTGAAGGCGGCGTCNATGGAGGAGTGGCGGGAGTTCTTGGTCTCGAAGAGCTGGATGACCTTCATGATGGTGAAGGGGATGGTCTGCAGCCCCATCTCCCTCAGCTCCCCCTCCAGCACCTCCTTCAGCTGTGGGGGGAGGGAGAAGGCAGAAGAGAGGAACAAATGAGTTAGGAAGGAAGGAAGAGAGGAAGAAAGGAAAGAAGGAAAGAAGGAAGGGAGGGAGGGAGGGAGGAAGATGGAGGGAGGGAGGGAGGGAGGCGATAGAAAAGAGGAAGGAAGGAAGGAGGGAGAGTGGAAGGAAGGAAGAAGACAGAAAAGAGGAACAAATGAGTTAGGAAGGAAGGAAGGAAGGAAGGAAAGGAGGGAGGGAGAGAGGGAGGAAGGAAGGAGGAGGAAGAGAGGGAGGGAGGAAGGAGATAGAAAAGAGGAAGGAATGGAGGAATGGAGGGAGGGAGAGTGGAAGGGAGGGAGGGAGGGAAGAAGGAAGGAGATAGAAAAGAGGAAGGAATGAAGGAATTATGCAAGGGAGAGTGAGAGGAAGGAAGGAAGGAAAGGAAGGAGGAGATAAAAAAGAAGGAATGAAGGAATTATGCAAGGGAGAGTGAGAGGAAGGAAGGAAGGAAAGGAAGGAGGAGATAGAAAAGAGGAAGGAATGAAGGAATGAGGAAGGGAGGGAGGGACGAGAGAAAGAAAGAAGGAAGGAAGGGCGTCCCTGAGACTGGCAGCGCTTCCCACCCCTCCAGAAGACCCCCAGCCGCCCCAGGGAGGGTCTGCCAAGTCCCCCCCTCCCCTCTCTGGGCCCTCTGGACCCCCCTCAGCCGCTTCCCCAAGGGAGGCAGGGGTCCCCGCCCGGGGTGGGGTGGGGTCGGGTGGGTGGGGCTGACCTTGCCGTAGTCGATGACGGGGCACTCGATGCCCGGGAAGAGGTCCTGGATGATGGCGTTGAAGAGCGGGACGTCCCCGGAGGTCAGCTTGGCAATGTTCATGTCCTTCATCGCCATCAGCAGGATCTGCCAGCCAGGGAGGGACGAGTCAAGGGCCTAGTCCTCACCGAGGAGGGTCCACGGAGACTCTCCGTCCTCCAGGTCGGGGTGGGTCTCAAAGGTGCTTTTTAAAATTTTATGTCAAAAAAGCCACTGGACTCGGCGTTCTTTCTCTTTGAAGACGTTTCGCTTCCCGTCCAAGGAGCTTCCCCGGTTCTAACGGAAGGTCCCACACCCAGAAGAGAGCAGGGCAGAGCAGAAGCTGCTGGATGGAGAAGACCTTCCCTCGGGGAGCTCTCGCCCGCCCCTCTCCTGCACGGAGGCCCGTTGCAGGCGGTCCTCGACTTACAACCGTTCGTTTAGTGACCGTCCGTAACTACAGCAGTCACTGAAAACAGTCACTTACGACCGTTTTCCACGCTTGCAGCCTCCCCGCGGTCACATGAACAAAATTCAGAGGCTTAGCAACTGACTTGTATTTATGACAGTTGCAGTGTCATGTGAAGGAAGAAAGGAAGGAGATAGAAAAGAGGAAGGAAGGAAGGAGATAGAAAAGAAGGAAGGAAGGAAGGAAGGAAAGAGAGTAGGAGAGAAAGAAAAAGAGAGGGAGGAAGAAAGAAAGGAGGAAGGAAGGAGATAGAAAAGAGGATGGATGGAAGGAAGGAAGGAGATAGAAAAGAGGAAGGAAGGAAGGAAGGAAGGAGAAAGAAGAGAGAGAAAAGAAAAGAGGGAGGAAGAAAGAAGAAAGGAGAAAGAAAAGAGGAAGGAAGGAAGGAGATAGAAAAGAGGAAAGGAGCAAGGAAAGAAAGAGAAAAGAAAGGAGAGAGAGAAAGGAAAAGAGAAAGGAAGAAAGAAGGAAAGAAAAAAGGAAGGAAGTAGGGAAAGAGATAGAAAAGAGGAAGGAAGGAGATAGAAAAGAGGAAAGAAGGAAGGAAGGAAAGAAGGAAAGAGAGAGTAGGAGAGAAAGAAAAAGGTAGAGGGAGGAAGAAAGAAAGAAAGGAGGAAGGAAGGAGATAGAAAAGAGGAAAGAATGAAAGAAAGAGAGGAGAGAGAGAATGGAAAAAAGACAGAGAAAGGAAGGAAGGAAGGAAAAAAGAAGGAAGGAAGGAGATAGAAAAGAGGAAGGAAGGAAGCAGATAGAAAAGAAGAAAGAACAAAGATGGAAAGAAAGAGAAAGGCGAAGAGCGGGAGGAACGAAAGGAAGGAAGGAGACAGAAAAAAAATGAAGGAAGGAACAGGGATGGAAAGAAAGAGAAAAAGAGAAGAAAGGAGAGCAAGAGAAAGGAAAAGAGAGGGAGGGAGGGAGGGAGGAGCAAAGGAAGAAAGAAGAAAGGAAGGAGACAGAGAAGAGGAAGGAAGGAAGGTGGTCCTAAAACGGCCATCAAGTCACAAAACGGGACCAAACCCCTTCAGCAAACATTCTCGCTTAGCAGCAGAAAATTGTGGTCGGGCTGCCTCTTGGGGGCCATGGGGACCACCCGCCACAAGACCCCCGTCCCACCTCTTCATCCGACAGGTCCGGCCGCACCCGGCGCTTCTTCCCGGCGTAGCGGAGGAGAGAGGTGAGGGCCCGCAGGCCGAAGTCGTAGTGGTCCTGCTTGGAGAGCTGCTGGACGGCCAGCGAGTAGAGCGTGTAGACCTTCTTGGCCAAGATCTGGGATGGTGGAGGAGAAGAGGGAGAGCATCTACCCTGGGCTTCCAGGGATGTCCCGCCCCAGGCCCCCCAGGCCCACCCCACCCCCCCGCGGCCCCTTACCTTGCAGTTGTTGAATCCTTCGCCGAAGAGGATGATCTCGGCAATGAGGGTGGAGTCCGGCACCACCATGGAGATGGGGCGGAACATGGACTTCAGGTTGTCCGGCAGCTCCGTCCGCCCGGCGTAGCCTGCCCAAGCGACCCACGGAAGAGCGGGTCAGCGGGCGGGAGAGGCCCAGCCCTAGGCAGGCTGTCCACCCCAGTGTGTTTCCGGAGCTGGGCCACTTTTAGAAGGGTGGGACTTCGACTCCCAGAATTCCCCTAGCCAGCGTGTGAGATGTAGGGTTGAATGCAAGGATCAGATTTTTCTCCTGATTGTTCTTAAACCATGCTGGGCCACTTTCAGAGGTGTGGACTTCAAATCCCAGAATTCTCCAGACAGCCAATTCCTCCCTTTCACAGTTAAGATGTGGGGACTTCAACCATGCTGGCTGGGGAATTCTGGGAGTTGAAGTCCACGCCTTTTAAAATGGCCAAGATTGAGAAACACTGAATAGAATAGAATAGAATAGAATAGAATGGAATGGAATGGAATGGACTAGAGTAGAGTAGAGTAGAGTAGAGTAGAGTAGAGTAGAGTAGAGTAGAGTAGAGTAGAGTAGAGTAGAATATATGGAATGGAATAAAGAATAGAATAGAATAGAATAGAATAGAATAGAATAGAATAGAATAGAATAGAATGGAATGGAATGGAATGGAATGGAATGGAATGGAATGGACTAGAGCAGAGTAGAGTAGAGTAGACTAGACTAGACTAGACTAGAATATATGGAATGGAATAAGGAATAGAATAGAATAGAATAGAATGGAATGGAATGGACTAGAGTAGAGTAGAGTAGAGTAGAGTAGACTAGACTAGACTAGACTAGACTAGACTAGACTAGACTAGACTATATGGAATGGAATAAGGAATAGAATATAATAGAATAGAATAGAACAGAATAGAATATGGAATGGAATGGAATGGACTAGACTAGACTAGACTAGACTAGAATATATGGAATGGAATGGACTAGAATGGAATGGACTAGAATAGAATAGAATAGAATAGAATAGAATAGAAAATAGGATAGAATAGGATAGGAAATAGAATAGAATAGAATAGAATAGAATAGAATAGAATAGAATAGAATAGAATAGAATAGAATATGGAATGGAATGGACTAGACTAGACTAGACTAGAATATATGGAATGGAATGGACTGGACTGGAATAGAATAGAATAGAATAGAATAGAATAGAAATACAAAATAGGATAGAATAGGATAGGATAGGAAATAGAATAGAATAGGAAATAGAATAGAATAGAATAGAATATGGAATGGAATGGACTAGACTAGACTAGACTAGAATATATGGAATGGAATGGACTAGAATGGAATGGAATGGACTAGAATGGAATGGAATGGAATAGAATAGAATAGAGACCTTGGAGGTCATCCAGTCCAACCCCCCGCTCAAGCAGGAGACCCTATCCCATCCCAGACAAGTGGCCGACCAGTCTCTTCTTAAAGACCTCCAGTGATGAAACACCCACAACTTCTGGTGGCAAGCTGTTCCCCTGGTTAATTGTCCTCACTGTTGCGACAAACCATTGGGAATAATATTTGGGGCCCAAAATTCTAGGCTTTCCCCTCCGAAATATGGACATTTCCCCCCCCCCTGAAATCCCACCAGGCCCCACCTGGGTTCATGGTGATGAAGATGCCACAGGACCAAACCAGGTTGATCTCGTGGCCTTCAAAGGTGAAGCGCGTCATGTTGGCCGCCAAGGCGGACAGGATGGAGAGGATCTGCTGGGCCACCACCGACAGGACCTCGATGTTGATGCGGTTGAACTCGTCGAAGCAGCCCCAGGCGCCCGTCTGTGGGGAGGCAAAGCGGTGTGGGTCAGCCAGGGGACCCCCACCGAGGGTCATCAGAGCATAGGTCATCCTCGACTTATGACTGTTCGTTTAGTGACCATCCTGAAGTTACAACGGCGCTGAAAAAAAGGGACTTGGGACCGGTTTTCACACGTACGACCGTTGCAGGATCGCGGGATCAAAGTTCAGCCACTTGGCAACTGACTCGTATTTATGATGATCGCCGTGTCTCCTGGGGTGATATGATACCCCTCCTGACGAGCCAAGTCCAGGGGGGAAGCCCAGTTCACTTAACAACGGTGTGATTCACTTAACAACGGGGGCGAGAAAGGCCGTAAAACGAGGCGATATTCAGCTAACAACTGACTCACATAGCAACAGAAAAGCTGGGCTCAGTTGCAGTCGTAAGTCAAGGATGGACTAGAAGACCTCCAAGGTCCCTTCCAGCTTCTATTCTATTCTATTCTATCATTAGTATTCTATTCTATTCTATTCTATTCTATTCTATTCTATCATTAGTATTCTATTCTATTCTATTCTATTCTATTCTATCATTAGTATTCTATTCTATTCTGTTCTGTTCTGTTCTGTTCTTATTTCTATTCTATTCTGTAATTCTATTCTATTCTATTCTTTTGTATTCTATTCTGCATTTCTATTCTATTCTACTCTACTCTATTCTTATTTCTCTTCTATTCCATTCTATTTCTATTTCTATTCCATTCCGGGCACTCACTCACCTGGGCGAGTCCGGAGTACATGCGCCCCATAGACTTGTAGTCCAGGCCCTCCGAGCAGTTGACCACGATCACGTACATGCCCAGTGCCTTGCCCAGGTCCTTGACCGTCTCCGTCTTGCCGGTGCCCGCTGGGCCCTTCGGAGACCCTCCTCGGTGGAGGTGGAGGGCCGTGGTCAGTGTCATGTAGCACCTGAGGAGGCCAGACCCCGGGGGCTCAGTCCTTAACTGTCTGGCCTTTCGGCACAAGCGGTCCTCGACTTACGACGGCTCCTTTAACGGCCGTTCGAAGTCACGGCGGCACTTAAAAAAAGCGACTTATGCCTGGTTTTCACACTGCACTGATTCAGTTAGGTTGGAAAAGGGGGCAAACCCCCCACGGTCTCACTTAGCGACAGAAATGGGGGGGTTCAGTTGTGGGTCGTAAGTCAAGGACCCCTTGCGCTGCGGCCAGCACCGCTGCCCGCTGCAAACCCTTCTCCCCCCCAAGAGGCAATCCAGGCAGCCTCTGACAATCCCACACTTTCTCGTCCTCCCACTTCCACGGGGGTCCGAAAGCCCCAAACTCTTTTGATTCCTACCCCCCTCCTCCCCGGCAGGGCACCTGTCAGTCAGTGGGGTGATCACCAGCCTTCCAGAGTTCCCCAGATACTCGTAGCCGTAAGCGAACTGGGTGTTGGTCTGCCGGATCACACAGTCGTCCAAATCCTGCAAGGAGACCTTCCGTTGGAGCAGGAGGGCGGTGGGGTGGGGTGGGGGGGAGAGAGGTTCGCCCCTAAGTTACGGGGTGAGGACCCCCTTCTAACTGCAGGGCCCACAGAGGGGAACACGGGATTGGTGACGCAGGAAGGAATGGCCTGTGGTGTCCCCGATGGTCTCTGAGCTGGGTGGTGTTCTTGCAGACGTTTCAAGGCCCGACGACGGAACAACATCAGTGCTAGAAGGGAGGGGGGTTTTGCAAGAGGAGGAGAAGGAGGAGGAGGAGGAGGAGGAGGAGGAGGAGGAGGAGGAGGAAGAGGAGAAGAAGAGAAGGAGGAAGAGGAGGAGGAGGAACAGGAGGAAGAAGAAGACAAAGAAGAAGAAGAAGGAGGAGGAGGAGGAGGAGGAGGAAGATGAAGAAGAACAAGAAGAAGAAGAAGAGGAGGAGGAAGAAGAAGAAGAAGAGGAAGAAGAAGAACAAGAAGAAGAAGAAGAGGAGGAGGAGGAAGAAGAAGACGAAGAAGAAGAACAAGAAGAAGAACAAGAAGAAGAGGAGGAGGAGGAGCAGGGGAACAAGAGGAGGAGGAGGAGAGAAGGGGACTGGAGGAGGAGAAGAAGAAGAGGAGGAGGAGGAGAGGAGGGGGAGGAGGAGGAGAAGGAGAAGGAGGAAGAGAAGCAGGGGAATAAGAGGAGAAGGAGAAGGAGGAAGAAGGAGAAGGAGAAGAAGGAGGAGGAGGAGGAGGAGACCATCCTTTGGGGCCTGCCACCTGTGTTTCATCTGTGGTTCCACACGTGGCCAGCAGGGGGCAGCCGCACACAAGGCAGGAAGCGGGCACAGCAGCACAGCGCGCAGCCCGTTCTCTCCAGCAGAGGGCAGCAGCAGGGCCTCTCCACTGCCACAGAGGGGCATCGCACGCCTGTGTGCGCCCTTGGGCAGACCCCCTCACACACCCCCTCCCTCCTCCTCACCTTCTCCCAGTAGAGGCGCAGCTGGCTCAGCCACTCGAAGGAAGTCACGTCCAGCAGGCCGCTCCTGTACAGCTTCTCGATGACGTCGCGGGCGTGGACCTCCACCGTCACCAGCGCCACGATCTTCAGCCGCATGATCTTGGTCAGGCTGCCCCGGATGGCCTCCGAGTACTTGTTGAGCATGGAGATCTAATTCCCCCCCCCCCGACACAAACACACACAAACACAAAAGAAAACTTCAGTCTGCGTCTGTTCATCCTGAGGGCGGCGTGGAGCTTCCGAGTCCAGCTGCAGTCTATCTTAACAATTCTAGCAGCTGGATGGGGGGGGGACTGTAGAGGAAAACTGGCTTAAGGGATGAGATTCTACCCCAGAGGTCCCCAAACTTTGGGGCACCGGGGACCGGTTCCGTGGAGAGAGGTTTTTCCGCGGACCGGAGGGTGCGTGGTTTTGTGTGTTGCCTGCATCCGGCGGATGCGGCTTTGCTTGTTTGTGAAGACCGGATGCTGGCGTGCTGCGGCCCGGTACCGGTCCACAGACCGAAGGTTGGGGACCCCCTACTTTAGAAGGCCTGAGAATGATGCTGGCCATAAAACAGGTGTGCACCTCCAGGTCCCTCTCCACAAATGAGATGCGGAAGAGGAAGCTGGAGACAGCCTGGGCCAAAAGAGACGGGACACTATAGTGCGAGGCAACACAATTTTCAACACAACCAGCACCCCCTCCCCCATTTCAAATTGTGCTCCAGGCAAGCTTTTAAAGTCACATCACAGGGGCAACAACCGGCTGTCCGGAGTTTTGCAAAAAGGGCTTCACAAGACGTAAAACGAGCATGTCACTCCAACTTGCGTTTTCCAGAATTTTATGCGGTCGAGCAAGTAGAACCCTAGTCCTCGACTTACAACCACGACTGAGAACGGGGGGATTGGGGACCCCTGCTCTACCCCACCCGTTGCTTGAGAGACGGAAAATCACACATCCTGGAAAGACTATAGTCAGGCCGTAGATACTTAGGATCACGACGGAGCGCAAAATGTCTACGCGAGACCGTTGCTGAGTTTTGCCCCATTTCCCGACCTTTCTCGCCACGACTGTTAAGCGAATCACGGCGGTTGATAAATTAGTCACACCGTTGTTCAGTGAATCTGTCTCCCCCTCCCATTGCTGGTCAGAAGATCACCAAAGGGGATCACATGACCCAGGGGGGGAAACGCCGCGGCCGTCCTAAAGATGAGTTAGGTTGCCGAGCGTCTGAATTTCGATCGCGTGACTCTGGGGACGCCGCAACGGTGGTAAGGGCGAAAAACAGCTGTAAATCGCTTTATTCCACTGCCGTTGTACCTTCAGACGGTCACTAAGTGGACCGTTGTAAGTCCAGGACTCCCTGTATTAAATTCCCGGGCTTGTAAGATGAGGACTACCCCCTACTATCTGTGCTACGGCCTCTTGGAAGGGTGAGGGGTGTGTGTGTGCAGGGCGCCGAGAGTCGCAGTGGCAGCCTCACCTGCTTTTTCTTCATCGCTTTGAGGTACTTCTTGTCCCCGCGTTCCTTACAGGTGGCCAAGCACTTGCTGACGTCGGCCGTCCACTGGATCTGGCTGGCGGTGATCACCATCTGGCAGAGGTTGCCGGGAAGGGGGGGATCAGCCCATGGATGCCCATTTGGAAATTGAGGGGGGGAAGGGGGAAGGAGACCCACCTCCCTGTTCCTCAGCTTGAGCTGGGATGACGGGAGGAGGGCAGAAGGAAACCATTCCCCATGGATGTCTCTGCTCAAGGGAGGGAGCGCCAACATTTCAAGAAGGACCCACGGGGAAGGTCTAGCAAAGTGGGGTACATAGGAGCCTCCAGTTACAGCTGTGATGGGGGGGAGTCAATGCCATAAACATCCCTCCCCACCTTTATCTCCTCAGGTCGAAGAACTCCACGATCATCTTACAGGTAGGATGGGGATATGAACATCTGGGTGGAAGCACCTTGGTAGGAGACCAGCATGTTCCACCAAAAAAAGATGGGGTGCCAGGCCAGATTAGGGCTCGCCATCGCCTTGGCACCTGCTAGGACATCCCAGAGACTCCACCTTACTTCCTGCCCCATCTCCGCGTCCTCACCTGTCCAGGCCATTCCTTCACCCATTTGTCTCTCTTGGTCAACATCTTCTTCAAGGCCAGTCGGCAGTTCCTTAGCACCTCTCTCAATGTCCAGCGCATGGCCCTCTCCACGTCGCACAGCCACTCCTGGGACACATGGATTCTCGGTCACAACGGACGAGGAGCCCGCCAAGCCCCTCCCTTGTGGAACCGTTCAGCGGAGGAGCAGGGAACCACCATGGACTGGCGCCACCCTTGTCAACGCCCAACAAGACCAGGCGCGATCTGGGCCGGCCTAGAACTTGGGGTGATGGGCGGAAGAGCAGGAAAAGGATTCCACGGCACTGTCTTCAGCCCCAAGCAAGCTCTCCTCCAGCCAGGAACAGGGATGGGTCAAAGGTCTACATCAGTGGTGGCGAACCTATGGCACGCGTGCCAGAGGCGGCACTCAGAGCCCTCTCTGTGGGCACACGCCATGCTCCAGAGATGGCAACCGTCCCTCTTCAACCAGCCGCCTGCTAACTTGCCAAGGTCCCACGTGGCCGAATGCATCCCAGCACGGCTGGTTGCCCTCCTCCCTGACCCTCCTCCCCGCCTGGCCTCGCATGGTCTCCTTTTTCCGGGCACGACCCACTGCATCGCCTCCTCAGCTGTCGGCCGTCTGTCCAGCTTCTCTGAACTTCTGGTGGCGGGCTGTGGAGCCCCAGAGTGCACCGGTCGAGGGGCCGGCAGGCTGTGGCTGCTGACGGACACTGTCGGCCCCCATGCGCTCTCTGGTTTCTGTGTGCAGGGGCCGATGGTGTCAGGCAGCAGCTGCCCCAGCCCCTGCCTCGCCTTTCCTTGCCTCACCCCACAGGACGAGCCTCCTGCCCACCGCCCCACCCGCCAGAGACTCCCTGGATCTCCCCCAACCCTGCCCGGCCCCCACAGGCATCCCTCCCCATGAGCAACATCGAGGTGACCATGCCCACCTTGGCCACACCCACCCAGTCTGCCATGACCACCACAGCCACGCGCACCCAGTGGGCTATGTCCCACCTGGCACCCGGTGATAAATAAGTGGGTTTTGGGTTGCAGTTTGGGCACTCGGTCTCTAAAAGGTTCGCCATCACAGGGATGGGTCAAAGGTCTACATGGCGTTTCACGCCAGGTGGTGTCTTCGAAACCTTCACAGGTATCGAATGATTCCAGATGAAGCCAGGGAGAAAATGGCTCACCTCCACCGGTCCTTCCAGCAGTACAGAATGGGTGAAGTCCACGTATTCCCCGTCCAGAGAGAACATGCCGAGGGCTTCAGAACGGTTGCTGGCCCCAATCTGAGGAGGGAAAGGAGAACGACGTGTCTCCAACGGTGCCCCGATCATCTCCTGACCCAGGGAAGATCTGCTCCTTTGGGCTTGCCCACGCGAAAGTGCCAAGTCCGAGAAGAAACTCTGGCGCCAACCAGCCACCGCATGACGTGGAAAGGAAGCCACGGAGAAACCGAAGGGATCTGGACGGGAGACCGCTGTCTACCCTGCGTCGTACCTTCTGAATTTTGAGGCACTTAATGTTGTCAAAGCACTTCTTGAGGTGGGGCTGGACAGCCTCTGGGTTGCGGGACTGGCCCAAGATCTCCAAGAGGTCATCGTTGGAGAGGAAGTAGAAGCGTGGAAAGATGTGGCGTTTGGTCTCCAAGTACATGTCAAGGGACTTCTGGATATCTTCCAAGGCCGTGTTCATTTCTACCAGTTTGTCCAGCAGGCCTGCAGAGAAGACCACAGAAAAGTCATAAGAAACTTGATCTCCTCGGAGGTCTCAGAATCCTGAAGACCTCCTACGACCTTCTTCCTATCTCCAGAGCTTGAGGGAGAACCTGGAAAAGTCGGGGGCAAAGCAGAAGGGGCTTCTTCCCTGGCGTCGTGGACCCTCCCTCCACCACGACAGACAAGAGGAACAGCAACCTGGGTAATGAGTAGCCCGCAGAGCGTTGTTGTCCTTGACAAAGCGGTCCATGATGGTCTTCCAGCTGCTGTTGATGTTGTCAAAGGAGGACGATTCACCAGGCAGCTGCTTGCGGATGTCTTCTCCCAAGAAGATGTTCTGGAGATGGAGGAGAGAGGAGACACATCTGGATTATAAAGCGCCCAGCCATTTCATGAAAAGGCTACCCAGGACGATCTTGTTTCCTCCTTCATATTGCTCATCATACCACCACGGTGGTCTTCTGCCCCACCAAAGAGACGAGGGAGGGAACGTCCCCAGGCCTTCAGAAGGAGAAGAACCTCACCTCCAGGTACATCCACTGACGCTGCACGGTCAGTAACATCTCGATCACCTCCAGGATGAGCGAGAGGCAGCGTTCCCACCGGTCCACCTCCTTCTCGAAGGGCTTCACAAAGCGGGAAGCCTTCATGGTGGACAAGGCCACCTGGTTGTCGTCCAGCGCTTGGAATACATCCTCAGTTCCTCTGCAGAAAGAGAGTCTTCCTTCAAAGGAGGCCTAGTAGCAGAGGACTACTCCTGACTCAGAAGATCTGCTCTTCTCGACCTAGAGTCCCTCATGGACTTTAGGTAGACAACCCAGAAGACCAAAAGGAGCTGGACATACTCGAAAAAGGGGCCCCGTCCAACCGAATGAGTTTCAGTGTGGAGAAAAGCAAAGTAATAATAATAATAATGATGATAAAGTTGGAAGGGACCTTGGAGGTCATCTAGTCCAACCCCTTGCTCAGGCAGGAAACCCTAGACCATTTCAGACAAATAGCTGTCTGGTCTCTTCTTAAAAACTTCCAGTGTTGGAGCATTCACCGCTTCTGGAGGCAGGTGGTTCCACTGGTTAATTGTTCTCACTGTCAGGAAGTTTCTCCTTAGTTCTAGGTTGCTTCTCTCCTTGATGAGTTTCCATCCGTTGCTTCTTGTCCTGCCCTCAGGCGCTTTGGAGAATAGGTGGACCCCCCTCTTTTTGGGGGCAGCCCCCCCAAATATTGGAAGGCTGCTATCATGTCACCCCCTCGTCCTTCTCTTCACTAGACTAGACATACCCAATTCCAGGAACCATTCTTCGTATGTTTTAGCCTCCAGCCCCCTGATCATCTTCGTTGCTCTTCTCTGCACTCTTTCTAGAGTCTCAACATCTTTTTTACATTGTGGTGACCAAAACTGGATGCAGGATTCCAAGTGTGGCCATCCCAAGGCATTGTAAAGTGGTATTAACACTTCACCTGATCTTGATTCTATCCCTCTGTTAATGCAGCCTAGCACCGTGTTGGCCTTTTTGGCAGCTGCAGCACACGGCTGGCTCACATCTAAGTGATTGTCCACTAGGACTCCGAGGTCCCTCTCACAGTTACTACTATTGAGCAAGGTACCCCCTGTACTATACCTGTACATTTGGTTTGTCTTGCCTAAATGTAGAACCTTCCTTTTTTCACCATTGAATTTCATTTTGAAAAATCAAAGGTCCAAGTACAGATTGGGCGAGACCTGGCTTAAAAACAGCGACTGTGAGAGGGACCTTGGAGTCCTGGTGGACGATCCCTTGACCCTGAGCCAGCCGTGTGCAGCAGCAGCCAAAAAAAGCTAACACAATCCTGGGTTGCATAAACAGAGGCATAGAAACAAGACCACGCGAGGTATTAGTACCGCTTTGTAAAACCCTAGTGAGGCCACACCTGGGAGACTGTAGCCAGTTTTGGTCACCACATCACAAAAAAGATGTTGAGCGTTTGGAAAAAGTTCAGAGAAGAGCAACTAAGATGATCCAAGGCCTGGAGACTAAAACATATGAAGAACAGTTGCAGGACTTAGATTTGGCTAGTCTAAAAAAAGAGGAAACAGGGGTGACATAATAGCAGTGTCCCAGTATTGGGGGTGGGCTGCCACAAAGAGGAGGGGGATCACGTTATTCACCAAAGCACCAGAGGGAAGGACGAGAAACAATGGTTGGAAACTAATCAAGGAGAGAAGCAACCTGGAATTAAGGAGAAAATCCCTGACAGTGAGGACAATTAACCAGTGGAACAGCTTGCCACCAGAGGTTGTAGGTGATTCATCACTAGACAGTCACTTGTCTGACATGGTATAGGTTCTCCTGCTCAAGCGGGGGGCTGGACTAGAAGACCTCCAAGGTCCCCTCCAGCTCTATTCTATTCTAATACCCATGTTTTGTCAGCTAAAGACGTATTACACCATTCTACATTCCCTCTTTCCACTCCTGAGATTTTGGAACTCACTTGGACCTTCTAGGACAGAGGTAGGCAACTTTGGCTCTTTTATGACCCGTGGACTGCAACTCCCAGAATTCCTGAGCCAGCCATGTTGGTTCAGGAATTCTGGGAGTTGAAATCTACGAGTCATAAAAGAGCCAAAGTTGCCTACCCCTGTTCTAGGACATTCTAACCAGGATCTTAGAGGTTGAACTGTGGAGTCCTTGAACCTCCCTCAGCTCTCCAGACCAAGTTCAGAGACCACCAAGGACCACCAGAGATAGATTCACCCAGAAGATTGTAAAGCTCAGGCGGGGGAGAAGACAATCTTTAGCTGCTCTACCTCAGTCCAAACCCATTAAACCCTGGATGATGGTCACCAGCACACTGGATTGCTTCTGGAAACCAACATGACCGTCGTAGGCTTCTAAGGTCAAATTCCCACCCAGATTTCATTTAAAATTTCATGTATTGGATTAAAGGCAACCTAGAATTATGGACTGATGTAAGGATTAAGATTATGAGTTTGAAGTAAAGAGATGTTTTAGACTTGGATTGAATTAATAATTAATTGAATGTTAATTAAATAAGATGACTTGTTTGTTTTATAACATGGATGTTTAGCTATGATAACTAACTGGACGAAATTTGAATTCTGCTCAACGGATTGAAATGATTTAAGGTCTGATACTATTCTGTCAGCTTAAAGAGATTGATTATTTGATGGATTAGACATGTATAGAATAGATAGATATACACATTTAGATATGTCTAAGATAGATCAATATTTTTGTTTAAAAATGAGATATTTTTTATATAATGGTTTCAAGGTAATCTAGAATATTAAGAATGTATTTTTTAGAATGTTAGGTTCATTTGTATGAAAATTATTATGTAATGGAATGAAGAAAATTGAAGAGATGTTTTAGATTTGAACTGAATTATTAATTAATTGAAATTTAATAAGATGATGTGATTCTTTGATGATATGGATGTTATTAGTTATGATAATTAACTGGATGAGATTTGAATTCTGTTTAATGGATTGAAAGGAGTTAAGGTCTGATATTATCTTGTCAGCTTAAAGAGATTGATTAATTGATGGATTAGAAAGGTATAGGATAGATTAATATTTTTCTTTAAATAGGGGAGATCAGTGGAAGAAGAAATAAATAAGATTTTGATAAAATTAAGAAAGCAGAACATACTTGGGATATCTGAATTGAAAATGTCTTTATTTAAAGTTAATTTGATTACGGTATGGTAAATTTATAAAGCTTTAAAACAGGTTCAGGTTGAATAAATTTAAGCTAGAATTGGACATTTCAAATACACTATGCTATTTGAGGGGGAAAGAGAGGGAATATTTGATGTATTGATTGTACTATGTATATATGTTTTGTTCTAGGATGTTTGATTACCCCAGCACCACGGTGTGTCCTGAATACTATGTTTTAAGAAATTAAAAAACCAATAAAATTTGTTTTTTTAAAAAAACTCCCACCCAGATGTTTGGTTCTGCCTTCAGGGGGCCACTGTTTTTTTGTTTTTTTTAGAGGAAGGTCCACCTTCAGGCATTGTAGAGTTTTGACCTGGTGTGCCCAAAGCAGACCTATCCAGGGTCAGCAACTATCTCCTGACGCTCCTTCTCCCTTCCTGGAACCCAGCAGACCTACCTGATTCGGTGGTGCCCTTTCTCTTTGTAAGGCACAATGTCCAGTGCGGTGACAGCCCAGGTCTTGGCGATGCTCTCCAGAGCCTGGGAGGGGAAGGACAGCAGCGTGAGAACATGTCACCCCTCCGGTTCTCAGTACCTGTAGATCAGGGATCTTCCAACTTGGCCCTTTGATGACTTGTGGACTTCGACTCCCAGAATTCCTCAGCCAGGCACACATGCCTGGCTGAGGAATTCTGGGAGTTGAAGTCCACAAGTCATCAAAGGGCCAGGTTGGAAGACCCCTGCTGTATATGCTTCTCAACTGGACACACCCGAGAGTTGGCGGAAGTCAAGAACCTCTCTAGGCTTCTGAAACCAGCACTTGGGCTTTCTCTGAAGAGGGGAGAGTTTGGTAGAGTTGACCCCCCTCCCCAGC